GAGGAGCTCGACCTGGCTGGTTTTCTCATGTGCTTTAGGAGCACAAACTCCTGTAGCGGTAGAGTAGCTAGCGACAAACTTGTTAGACTAGAATCTACTTCTGTGTCGTCAATTCCTTTGAAGTACCTTTTTCCCCTTTCCTGTTCTTCTTTACCCCGTTCAACGTCGTCTCGTTGCAGTGGGCGGCATAAGAGGCGACAGAGTACAGGTATTTTGGCATGACCAGCTAGTTGCCCCTCCTCATAGCCTCAACGTGATCCTTCACCACCGTTGAAGTCCTCGACCTTACTGAAACAGCTTTGGCTGTAATGAACCAACATCTACCTTAGATGACTGTTTCATCGTTTTGGTTGTCCCTACCCAAAAGCTTTCTCCTGGCAAAAAGTTGTCCACTTTGTGTCAACCGCCCATTGTGACATGCCTATCATGAACAAAAGGCAGTGCCGCCAAGTCATTTCATAACAAACGACATTCAGTTAGGACAAGACTTTGTTCGAGACAAAGACTCGCAATGAAGACGCAGCATTTAACAAGCTCGAAGCTGCCAACTTCGTAAACTTGCCCGCTCAATTCACATTACCCTACAAACCAAACCAGCAACTAACATATCTTCAGTGTTCCCAATCGCATCACAATGGCTCAATCATATTTCGAAAGCAATATTGCCACCACCGCCCTGAAGGATCAACTCAGAGCGGTGCAAGCTAAGAACGCCCCTAAGAAGCCCGAATGGGCCAGTTCTCACCAAAATGAGCAGCCAGTGTCGACCAAAGAACCTCGACCGCTGCGCCTCGTCGAGAAGTACAACAAAGACAAAGCTAACTCTTCGACCAATCAGAAGACCCCGGATTCCCATAACACAAGCGCTCAGACGGCCGATATCTCCGCCGAAACCCCATACTGCAGCGGCGCTATCCAGAGCGACTTGCCGATCCAGATGGTTGACGCCGAGAATGGACAACAGCTCCCGGCGCATTCTCATCGACAGAACTCAGAGCACCTCTATGTCCACGAGGACGCGAGTACTGATCATGTAACTGACCAAGGTAGGCAGCTAACCGAGGATGGAGAACTGCCGCCAATCAAGACATTCTGGGAGAAGGTCGAGTCTGCGCTGTACCTCTACCAGTTGCGAACCCATGGCGACAATGAGGAGCACCCCTTCTACCGTGCTAGGGCCAAGGCTTTCTCCATGCATAAAGCAGTTGGCATCTTTGCAGGGTTTTCAGCGAGTCTGTTCTTTTCAGTCGGGATATATCTCGCCAGAGATAACATTCAACCTCCCCTGAATCTCCCCTTTATGTTCACCTGGATCGCTTTCAGCGGTATTGTAGTCCTCTGGGCCATGGTGGCTATCATTCTGATCCAATGGTCTAAAAGAGGACTCAAGCACGACTTGGAGGTTGCCAGAATGAGAGACGCTTTCAATACCACCACTGTTGGGGATGCTGCTTCAGAGGGATGTTTCGTGAATGGTGTGCGTTACGAGGGCGAGCAGCGTCCCAAGCCGGACTCCATCACGAATGAAGCTATCCAGCAAGCAAATGGTCGAGAAGCCCCGGAGGTTTCTGATTCTAGTGCGCACTCAAGTCTTGACGTCATCCGTGAGTCGAAAGGAAACTGGGCTAACAGCACAAAGGAGGAGTTATCGAAGTTGCCTGGAACACCAGAGTAAGAGCGTGCTTGGATCGGTGATCGTTGACAGGGTGAATAGGATATAGAATTTGTTAGAAGAATGACTACGCGATTGGCACACATAAATTTCCTTTTTTCATCCCATGTTGCAGCTAATACTCAAGAGACCCGGAAAAATGGTCTCCGATATCTGCTTTGGAACCTAGAGATTACCTTGTTATTCAGGCAGAGTAACGAGTGTGCCAGAAACCCTAATCTTCCATGGGCTTGCATACATCAGTAAATACTTCCTGTAATCTTTCGACGATGGGCAGGCGCGTTCGGCCTGTTATTGGGGTTCCGCTGGGGAAGGAGCATTCTTGGCAACGACTTACAAGCCTTGGACGACGTCGAGACGGAGTGGACTGCAATAGTCAGACCACGCAAGTTCCGAAGAACTTGACTCATCAATTGCCGGATGTTTCTGTACGGCCCGAGGTTATTTCTCCAGATTGTTGATCACCCCGTAGTTGCATATGTTTTGCCCACTTTCCTGCCTGACCACGTGTCTGAGAGATGATGGGCATCATAAAGTTTAAACGGATCGATTTGAGGTTGTCCAAATGCGGAAAACCTATTTGAGACATGAAAATAAACATTGAATTGGGTTACTGTAACTGGGATGCTGGAATGGAGGATGATTGCTGATGGCAACTCAACATTCCTGGGGTGGTTTGACCTTGAGTCAATGTGGTGCAGGATTTAACCACAGGCATCTCTTTCTTGTCTTCTCTTTTTCCTGACGATAACTTCACCTTCTTCAATTGTGGAAGCCGCCCGGTCTTTCCTTCCCTCTGGGAGAAAAAACTTGCTCACCGCGGACCCGTGGTGTTGTGGGTGCCTGGAGGCAGACGCGTCTTCAACCTTTGGACCGCGTCAACCTTTCCACCCAGAACAACATGGAATAAGACTTTCCTTCTCACAAAGCCAGCACTCTCTTTTTGCCATAGCCACACGGCTTTTCCTTTCGTTTGTCAAAGTTCTAGGCTATTCCTTCCTTCCCACAACATCCTCTTTGTCATTCATTTTCCGTCACTCTCTTTTTTCCGAATACCCTCACTTGGAGGAATCGTCACAAAGCATTCACATCCGCGAGCAAAGAATGTCGCTGCCACCGCAGGCCTCTTTCAGCTCTGCCACGACTGCGGTCGCCAGTCGTGAAGCGGCATACCCTTCTGTGGAGGAATTCACCTCCTTCAAGCTGCCGAACAAGCCGAGAATCATCAAGACTCTCACTGGCGATGACATCTCAGACCTTTCCGATGAGCCGGACAGTGCGCCTTGCCCTGCGATGAACCCCTCGACGCCCATTCCTCCTTCTCCCATGTCTTCGGAGGAGTCTGATCGGGTCATCGACCTCAATTATACTCCGCGCACCGTCCGAGGCAAGAGCATGATCTTGCCTCAACACCCTCTCAGCGGCAAAGCCAAATCTCCTCGCTGGCCCTTCCAGAACGCGACACCCCGCACCTCGACTATGGTGCCCATTGTCCCAAGCTTCACTGGAACTTCCAGCCGATTCGACCACTACCCTACAGACGATTGCAATCCAGCGGTTGAGATCAGTGTCACTGAGTCCCTAGACGAGTTTCAGATCAACCATCCCAACGGTCGCTTGCTTGCGTCTCACCCTCAAGGCCTCTCTGTTCACGAGACTGGACGCAACCTAACCGGTCGCAACTTGGCCAATATTCCCACCCTAGTCGAGCAGCTTCACCAGGATGCTCAATCAAGCAAGGCTATCCCTTCCAAGCACCGACAGAGACCCTTCAAAGTCTTGTACCGCCGTTGCCAGAGCTCTCAGCTCCTCAACCTTCAGCTCCTCCGACGCCGCCAGGACAAGCGAAAGAAGAACTTTGAGACCGACACCACTTGGTATCAGCGCATCAGTCTCGATGATAATATCTATGTCGGGTCCGTCGTCCTTACTCTCTTCTTCGTCACCCAGACGGTTGTCTCCATCACTGTCAGTTTGACCATGGTAGCTTCCCAGATGAGCATCCCTTACTTCGTCGTTGTCTGGGTCATGGTGAGCCTCATCGTCATGATCTTCACTGTGGTTATGAGCCTTCAAATGCGCTCTTTCCGCAAGAAGACCAACGCTCTTATTGACGATGAGAAACGAGTTCGCTCGACTACATTCCCCAAGCTCTCTCATGAGGGTCATCTTCACCTGCCTGCCGACGCTGCAGAAATTGCTCATCGCCGTCAGATTGCCGCCGCCCTTGCGAATGAGCAAGCTCATGCAGGCAGCTCGACCGAAGAGTCCGAGAAAAGTTCCGATGGAACCGTTGTCGATCAGGTCACCCAGCCGCCCGCCGTGTTCGACCCTTTCGCTCCGGCTATGCCCCGCGACACCAGCAGCGTCTACCTCTCAGCCAGCGGCACTTCACCCCAGGGAATTCAGGATTCCAACGACACAGCTTGGCAGAACGTTGACCTTGCGGCAGTCGGAAACTCCCGCACTAGCTCCATGACGGCTGTCGTCCCTGCGGCTCCTGCCAACCTTCCGGCGAGCAACCAGAGATCGAGCTGCTAGGATCGGTGCGAGTTCCGGATGCAACCTTACGGCAGAATTCCCATAATGAGATATATTTGAGGAGCCAGCCTTCGGTGTTTTGGGAGTTCCTGTTAGGGAAAGGACATGGAACTTTTGACAAGGGAGTCTGGATGGAACATGGAACGGCGATTGATTTGTGAAGATACCCCCTACCGCACGGAGGTGCAAACGGTTACGGTTTATTCGAGGTTTTGATGTAGGAATATGGTTCAATAAGCTCTAGGCAAGGCATTCAGACATGACTTTCAAACGCTTGTGCATCTTTCGTCTCGCGCCGCCTTTCTCGTGAGCTTGTCGGTGCATAATGAAGATTTTTGTTCCGCTTCCTCATCCGCACTTCTTGGCCCAGAATGAGACGATCTGCGTGATCAACCTACATGTTGCGCTATATTTAGCCAACGGCAGGCAGAGACAAGCCTGCACCTGTTATTCGAACCAACTTCTCACGCCCAGGTAACGTCGGCGGCTAGGGTGCATGTTGGAAAAGTAGTCTGGCTCGCTGCATAAGCTTCATTGGCTACTGGTTGCCTATCTGCACCTCGCCTGTTGTCCTGCTCCTTTTTTGCAAGCGTTTCGTGTTTCTCCGCTCTCATTCAAATGTCTCCATATCTATCTCTTCTTCTTCACTACACGCAGTCATATCAATCTATCCCACAATTCGAGTATTTTACCTGCTGCGCCTCTCATCCTCTCTCACCTCCCCGACACCGTTGTGTCTCAATATCAAGCCCAGGGAGCGCCCCTGGTAGAACCTTAAAAGACTACGATGCTGACAGAATTGCTGGGGAGACTGAAAAGAAATGGAAGGAAGAAGGACTCAGCTGCTGCAGTGCATTCGGCAATTTGGTCCTCCACAACTTCCTCAAATGTTTCCCTAGTCAAGTCCAGCAAGCCATTGTCCCATGCTAATCCATCCGGGAAACTTCGTCCGCCAGCGAATGACGCAAACAGAGTTGGCGATATTGGCGGCCTTCCACCAACAAATCTATCGGTGACTCCTTCCAGACTCCAGCGCCCAGGCTTGACGAATCTCTGGGAGAGGGCAAACGAGACTCTGCGGAACGACCCCGATTCCGAGAAAAGGGAGCTGGCCCAAAATTATGCCGAGATTTTAGCCTCGGAACTTGCTGGGCCAGAGTCTGGGCCTATGGACACCGATCCGGCTCATCTCAAACAAGAGATAGTGGCAGAACGTTTGAACGCTAGAGTGGAGATGCTTAGCCATGAGCAACTATCCATCTCTGTCGGAAGCCGCGAGCTTGATATTGAACCCTTGCTTCGGAACGTATCGAAACACATCGTTGCAGCGAGGGACCTCATTAGCAGTGCTGCTGGCGCCGACCCCCACGCCGCCCTAGCGTGTGCCGGTGGACTCGTCATTCTCACCGTCAGTGACGGGCATCCGGACATAATGAAACGAAATTGAAACTGACTTTTCGCAGTTTCTTATCCGCCCATTGGAGCAGAGAGCACACATACTCAGAGGGCTTGAACTGACCTCTTCACTCATCTGTCGATACTTTGCGATGGAGCAGGTTTACCGTTCGAGAGCACGCCTTGAGAGTCTGTCAGCAGAATTGGCCAGAAAGCTTGTATTGGATTTGGAACAAAATCTGATCAAGCTGTACACGAATATCATCGAGTTTCAGGCCAGAGCACTATGCTATCTTCATCGAACCCGATCGACTCGGTTTATTAGAGACGTGTTCAGAGGCGATACATGGAAGACCCTCATTGAAGAGATCGAGAGACTCGATGCCCACTGCCGTGCTTTCGCAAACCTCATCACCGACGAAAAGATTCTCACATTTCTAGAATCTCATTCCGAGAAAGTTGAACAAGTCATCATCAGCATCAATACGCCCCAACCCGTCTCATTCGATCTTCTGCGAAGAAGGACAGCGCTTCTCCGCACTCTGTACGCCTGCCCATACCGTGATCGTAAAGACATCAATCCAGAAAGAGCACCAGGGACCTGCGAGTGGTTCACCGAGCATGGCTACTTCAGCGATTGGATGTCTGCAGTAGACTCGAAGATCTTGCGAGTTTCGGCAGATCCTGGCTGCGGCAAGTCAGTGCTCTCGAGATATTTGGTAGACGAAATCCTTCCAAGCACCTCGTTTCGGACGACGTGCTACTTCTTCTTCAAAGATGATTTTGAGGATCAGAAACTTGCTTCCATTGCGATGTGTTGCATTTTGCGGCAGCTCTTCGAGCAAAACCCTGACTTGATGGACGAGAGAACTTTGGCAAAGTTCGAGGCGGCCGGCGACAACTTATGCAATTCATTTCCCAGTCTTTTCGAGATGCTACTCGAGGCTTCTATGAGAGTAGAGACTGAGTTGATTTGCATTTTCGATGCTCTTGATGAATGCAACGCGGAAGATTGTAGGCAGATCACTGCTGCACTGAGCAAGTTCTACATGAACCTCGGTGAGGGCAGCCGCCGTAAAGTCATCATCACGTCTAGACCGTACGCCCGCATTCAGCGAAGCTTACAAAAGCTCGAGACCTCTGTACCGGCTATCCATCTGAGGGGCGACAGTGAGTCGCAATTGAGAAAAATCTCTGGCGAGATCGGCGTCGTCATTCGCCACAGAGTTAGGAGCATCGCGGAAGCTCGACTACTGGAACCTCATGAGATTGAGTTGCTGGAGCAAAGCTTGTCAAACTCACAACATTGGACCTATCTATGGGTCAAGCTCGCACTCGATTACATCGAAGACCGTCTCGAGTCTCTTACGAACAAAAGTATCCAAGCCGTCTTGAGAAGCGTGCCGGAGAAGCTAGACGGGCTATACGAAAAGATTCTGGATCGAAGTGCGAACAAGGAACGAGCCCGAAAGGTTCTACAAATCATCAATGCGGCGTTTACACCATTGTCCCTCGATCAAATATCCACGGCACTTTGCATCGAAAAAGAGCACAGCAGGGGCTCACAACTCATCAAAGAGCCGACTCATAGGCCTCAGTCATATTTGAGAGAAATTTGCGGGCTGTTTGTGACCGTCGTTGATGGGAGAGTCTATCTCCTTCACGAAACTGCCAGAGAGTTCTTGATCAGAAATTCGGATTCTGTGGGGCTTGATGCGCAAGATGAAAAATACAAATCGACTGGCTACACTCGATCACACTCCAAGAGTCACACTTAGTTGTAGCAAAAGTATGCGTCTGGTATCTCATGAAGAAGGACTTCGACAATTCTGCCGGAACTCACAATGATAAAGGCTCTGAATGGGAAATGGCAACTTATACTTCGAGGTCCTGGGCACGTCACCTCAACAGCATCGATGCAATGGACATCGAATATATTGCAGATGAAACGATGTATCTCTGTAAAACAGCTCTCAAGCAAGATGGACCGCTTCGTACTTCCCACCTCATGCGGAAATACAGACCCCCGAGATGGCATTTCGATATTGGGTTTGACAGCCTGGCGTCGTCTTGTTTACACCTACTTGGCAACGTGCGAGGAGGCCCCTTGATTGTCGCCATAATACTTGGCTTCGACTGGGTGGTCTCCAGGCTGTTGATTAAAGATCCTCAAGCCGGAAGACAGGTTGACAGAAAAGGAATCACAGCCCTATGGTGGGCAGCATGGGCGGGTAACGCTCAAATCACGCGCCTTCTCCTTGAACTATACGATGATACAGACTATGGAGACATTGCTCTCAATGGGGTCCGGAGCACCCCTTTGACAGTAGCAATAGATCACAAGCACAATGCTGTGGCACATGCACTGCTAAAGGATCCGAGAATAAGTATCACCACTCGTTGTCGTGTGCGCCGCATTTGGACCCCCATGCACTACGCGATCGCGGCAGACACCTTCGAACTTTTTCAGCTCCTTTTAGCTGAGGAACGCACTTTTGCCGGCTGGACTTCCGCCGACTTGGCTGATTTACTGACGCACTCTATCAAATAGGGTAGTGCGCAAACTGTCAATCACTTATTCTCTGACAGTCGGTTTGACTTCAACTATTCGGATTCAAAGACTTGGCGAACTCAATTTTGCCAACTTGCGAATCCAATGGAAAAGAATGAACTTCGTCCGAGCTTTTCAGAGGAAGAACGTCTCAACATGATGCGAGTTCTTCTAGAAACCCATCAAGTTGACTTCGCCAAATCCGATCGCGGAGGTAGATCTCCCGTCAGCTGGGCGGCGAGCAGACCCGCCAATGCGGTCATTTTGACATATTTGCTGGACGAGCTCAACCTTGAGCCAGATACTCTGGATAGGCAAGGTCGGAGTCCATTATCCTATAGCGCAGAAGTTTACTGCTACCGGAACATCGATGCCTTGCTACGGACGGGAAAAGTCAATATCAACTCAGTTGACAACGAAGGTCGGACTCCCCTCATGAAGGCGACGCAACTCCAATTTCGGGCGAAGGTCACAAAACGTAATCCCTCCGAAAGAAAATACAAAATGCTGCGCGTCAGCTCGGCAATTGCCACATTGAGATTATTGGATCACGCTCCCGATGTCAATCTTCAAGACGTCGAAGGGAATACGGCCCTGATAAATGCAGCTCAAAACCGCGTGGTGGAGGGCGTTAGAGCGCTGATAAGACACGGAGCAGATGTCAACGTCCAAGACATCCATGGTCGCACAGCGCTAGCTCACGCGGCAGAAAAGTTATGTTTCGAGTCCGTGGAAGCATTACTCAAGGCGGGCGCAGACGCGAATTTGTGCGATGACGAAGGCAGATCACCTCTCTGGTTGGCGACTGAGTCGATGAATCGTTTGCTCCCGAGATACGATATTCATGGTAAGATGGAGAACATGCGTGGTGTCGTTGGCCTTCTACAATCTAGCAAAGGAGAAGATGCCGGATTAAAATCTCATGGAAGGGGTGAGGACTTGGTCAGGAACCATGCTTATGAAGAAGGATTGATCAAGGTTGTGTGAAATCTTTGTCTTAATGTCGCTTAGCAAACTTGGATGGTTTACCCGCATCTTCCTCGTCAGACGAAGACAGAAGTGCTTCATCTTCCAGGGCAAAGTCGTCTAGTGGTATATCCTCCGCATGTAATCTCGTGTACTTCCTGTTTCTATACTTCTTCACAGCAACGACTGCCCCAATGACAGCTCCCGATAGCACTGCAATGACGAGCCCCATGAATACCCACCTCCTCCATCCTCTTAGACAACACGGGTACAAGGACATGTAAATGCCGACGCCCCACTCCATCCATCCCATCTTGCGCCTTTGGTCTGGCTTGAGGCCCTTTCGAACAAGGTGCTTATGTCGTGGGCCAGTCGGGCCAGACTCAATCCTCTTAATTCCGAACTTCGGTACGATTTCCTGGCGGGGATCGGAAGCTGGGTACGCTATGTCTCCCCATCGGCCGGAGTAGTAGAAGAAGGATGTCAAGTTCGAGGATGATGGTGGAGTTGGTGACGACTTGGCTGGCGGATCTAGTCTAGTGACGGTGAAGGACTCTTGATCGAAGTGGTAGAAGTATGCCGAGAGAATGGGGTCCCATCTTCGTCCTTCGTCGCAGTAGTCGACCAATACAGAGTTGTGAATTTGATTGCTAATGACTTGAGTCAGTGCAGGCCTTAGACTCAAATAAGAAGACAAGGAACTCACCCGCGGGTTGGATAGTTGGCATGAGATCCGCGTGCGCTGTAGACAATAGGCTTGACGAAGTTAGCAAATTCTCGTCCCACTAGCTGAGAGACTAAGTAGAGTCACGAACCCTTCCATCGGTCTTTGTGAGGGTTGAATCATCCCACTTGAAAGAGGCGCCATCGACGTGCTGGCTGTAGTAAATTCCAGTGGGCTTCCCATCTTGGAATCGAATCATGTTGTGTTCCCAATCTCCGACATGATCACCAAAGTGCATTCCTGACTGCACCTTCTCGCCCTTAACCATCCGGTTGAATGGTTCTAGAACTTGGCTGATGTTCATGCCCTCGTTGAATGAGTAGAAGTAGAAGTAAAATGCATCCAGGTCCCGCTCTCCCTTCTCGACGAGAACCACAACGCATGGTGTTGCGTTGTTGATTCTGCCATCAGCGTCGGGAGTCGTACCGTGAATCCATTCCGGGTAGCTCAGTGGATCGTCGTTCGATGTGAGAGCTACTTCGTCTCCAAACTTATTGAGTGTTTCCAAGTTGTCCAGGTCGAGATTTGGGATATCCGGGATGGGTTTTCCGTCTAGTGCCGGGAAAGTGTGTTGGATATGCGTCAAAAGGTCGCTAGGCATGTAAGGATCGTCAGAGTGAAGCCAGATGATAGGTGCTACATGTCATATTAGATCTCTCTCGAACTCGAACGCCATCCATAGCATTAGACGTAATATGCCAGCGTCGAATACCTGACTGACTTACCGTGCTGGATGACGTAATCGGGACACCGGAGATCAGCGCCGATCGCCGGCCCGGCGACAGTGGAGCATATCAAGAAGCCGGCGAGGAGACAAAGCCGCTGTGGTGAGAATGCCTGCTTAAAAGCAGGCGCTGAAGCGGCCATCTCATACACAACTTCTCGAAAATTGATAGAGAATCTTGGAGGAGATGTGCAGTTGTTTATCGCAAAACTCAAAAGTGTCAGACATCCTGTGCTTATTCAGCAAATGCGTGCATGCACGCCATCGAAGGCAGCAGCAGCATTGGACGGGAACCTCGGGATCCGGGAGCTGCCCGGAAGGTTCGGAGTGGAGCCAAGCGCTGCAGGCCCCTCCTTTGCTATGTCCGTCTTGATATCCGTCCAACCGTTTATTCCCCACTATGGATGCTCTTACTACGCATCACGGATTCCCGCGGCATTTGGTTCCGGGGACGAGCAATTTGGCGGGTGGTTAGTGGGGTGATGTCACGTAGTAGCATTCCTTCTCTCTTCTTTTTTCCAATTTCAAGTCATTATCGTTTTGCGGGTGGTGGCTGGCGGGTATTGCCGTTGAACAGAGAACATGAGACGTTTAGATTCCAAGTTTCGATGCATCAAGATCGCTTGGCGCTTAGGGTATTTCCGAGGTCCCCGTCGTCATTGGTTTGCGAGTCCCTTGGCTTTATGAGAATCTTGCGATGCGTGTGTGGGTATCAAAACTCACGTCTTTGTCGGCTCAAGACTTCAGAAAGCAAGTTCGTTGCCCTTGAATGAGCCTCCATGTCGCATGGAGATACGCATTGACTCATGTAGTCGGCGATGTCGTTTTCGTTAATCTCAATCGACTTGTCAATGTGCATGCATATGGATGCTAGACGGGAGGCTATTCAGGTCTGATTTCAGGTAGAGCAGACTTTTCGGTATCGCTAATTTCGCGGTTCAGTACGTGTAATTATAGGCGGCTCTCGAGATACGCGGAATGACGACGTAGATCGATGAGAGCGTAGCAGCTGTGCTTGTCGTATTGATACGAACATCAGATCTAAGTTGACTTGGCTTCCCGGTCGGGAACTTTGAAAGGTTGTAAAGACAACAATGAAGCTAAACTAATCTTTACCGAGACCGAAGATCTAAAAAGGTGGTAATAGAGAATTGCTACAGAATGTTTCATCCGATCACACAGAATAAGATGAAGACTTGCAAATCGGCGAATTGCGTATGTCGATCAATTGTTCCTAGAATCTAGCTGTCGTCTGGGTAATGGTGCCTGGCAAGTCTACATCGATAAGCTTTGGATTATCCAGGATCTTCCACTTTCAAACTTGCCTATTTTCCTTCAATCAGGTAGTTCTTCTAGGTGGTATTGAATTCCAGATGGCTCAGTACTTATTCAAAAATCATTTCCTACCAAACTGCAAAGGACTTTACATCGCTGTGTGCCATGCGCTATCGGCATGTGGGGTGATACAGGCTACGAGATCCTGCCGTGCAAACCTCATTATAAGAAACCAAAAGGATGGAGCTTGCTGGTGCTATTGAGGCGGAGATCGCCGTCCATCACCCAGCCCTACCGAGTTCAGCCTTGGCAAACTTGTAGCGTGTTTGTCTGGCTTGTCTCACCCATCCCAGGCTGACTGACAGTAATATCAAACAAGGGACTTTGGTGCGTGCGGTCAGATCCCGGGGCGTCCCCAGATTCGACCCCGGTCTTACAAGGCGTCTTCGCGGAGGGTGCGCCACATACGTTTGCTCAAAGCTCCAACGTGGTAGCAATCGTCATCCCACTCCCACCATCCCTCGCAGAACAAAAGGATCGACACATTATTGGCTGAAGAGAGCTCCCCAAACATTTTTGCTCAATTGACATTCCGGTACTTTGTCGCAGACCAAGCTTCTCTAAGCTTTTTGCGCCATGGGAGGAAGAGACATCCTCCCCTCCTGTGCCACGCGACCAACGAGAGCAAGGTGAACTACCCCCTCAATGGCCAGACAGACAGGCCATTGCAGCTTTTTACAGCATAAGCTGCATGAAATAGCCTGTCACGCCAGTAGTGACCCCGCATAGAATCGAAGGGAGCTGTAGCAGCATTAGGCCGATTCGGGGCGCTCGCATATCACTTCCCTAAGATTAGAGGCGTCGAGAGTCTACCTGATGGCCTAGCTATCCAGGCTTTGTTTCAATGACTTCGCTTCACTGGTCTGCCTCGGTGGCCGGGATGCAATGTGAGATGTTGCCATGATGTACAACTCATACGACCATGCCCGCTCATCACCCTCCCTCCTGAAAGTATGCCCTCCAGCCGTCCCCTTGCTCCCACCAACCCAACCAACACCCCGGCTACGTGCTCAGCCGACGCCCGCTACTTTGAAGTACATGTTGGTGATGAGACAGGGTGATTCAGATGACAGGGACGGCCCCTCAGACGTTGGACGGGTAATTCTGGATATTTAATCTGAATCCCCCTCCCTTCAGACGGCTTGAAGCTATCGAGCAGCACGGTGCAACTGCGTCACTCACGGCAGCCACTTTCTCGAGCGCACAGCTTCATTCCAGCCTTGCACAGGAATTCTCCATCGTGAACCACGTCCATCATGGCGGAACCAGAGAAGAGGGTCGAGACGGACTCGCCGTACGTAGCCCCCAGCCCAATATCCCCCAGCCACCATTCCCGCGTGAAGTTCCTCTGGGACGCAACTTACACAAACCCCAGGATCCACAAAGACGGCGTCGAGCACCACGACGAACGCAAAAAGTCCATCGCGGAACTCACCCAGAACCTCGAGGGCGAGATCAAGAACCCCCTCAAAGGCATCCCCAAAGCACAACTCCTCGAGCAGGTGACAGCATACCACAAAAAACACGACCTTCCCGAAGACATCCTTCCGCTGCTGAAAAAGGGCGCCCTCGTCGCTCAGAACCCAGCACTCTTCGAATCCATCGAGGAGCTCGACGAAGCCGAGAGGGACGCGCTGCGCCAGGAGGTTACGCACCGGTGGAAGCACCCCTGGGCTCTGTATTACACCATCATTCTCAATTCTATCGCGGCGGCTATTCAAGGATGGGATCAGGTAAGCCAAGCAATGGTCGAATCCTTCGCGCACCCCCTCACCATGTCATGTCCATCTTCTTCCCCTCTTATTATTATCCACCTTTTCCCGCTCGGGTTCCCCGCAAATTCCGCATGATCTCCCGGGAGCTTGGCTTTTCTAACGGCGCTGCACCAGACCGGGTCCAATGGCGCCAATTTGTCGTTTCCCACTGCGCTCGGCATCCCTGACACGGCGGGTTCGTCCTGCGGGCCGGTCGCCAACGAGGGCGATTGCGCGAAGAATAGCTGGATTATCGGACTTGTGAATTCCATGCCCTACATCACGATCTGCCTATTGTGAGTATTGACCTGTTCCGAATACCTAGACGAGTGAGAGATGTGCTGACTGATTGCGAACAGCGCTGGCTGGATCTCGGATCCTCTTAATGATCTCCTCGGTCGACGAGGTGTCATCTTCATCGCTGCCATCTTCTCGTTGCTCGCACCCTTTGGCATGGCTTTGTCGCAGACATGGGGACAGCTCGCGGCTTGCAGGTAAGGAAAAACCCCCCCAAATCAACGCTCACCAGCGACATCGTGATGCTCACGGATCCTGCACAGAATGTTGCTTGGCATAGGCATGGGCTTGAAAGAAGTCACAGTCCCAGTCTTCTCCGCCGAGAACTCCCCCACTCTTATCCGTGGCGGCTTGGTAATGTCTTGGCAGGTCTGGACTGCGTTCGGTGAGCCTCAACAGTCCCCCCTCCCAAGCAACACCAAGAAATCTTGACTCTCGCCGATCTCTTGGTAGTTCTCTTGGCGAACTACCACTCAGAAATGCTAATCATTCCTAAGGTATCTTCCTTGGCACATGCGCCAACCTCATCGTCGGTAAGACGGGCGACATTGCTTGGCGCCTCCAATTCGGCTCCGCCTTCATCCCAGCCGTCCCGCTCGTCATCGGCACGTACTTCTGCCCCGAATCGCCTCGATGGTACCTCAAGAAGGGAAGGCATCTCAAGGCGTGGGGATCGCTGAAGCGCTTGCGTAATACGGAGCTTCAGGCTGCGAGAGATCTGTACTACATCCACTCGCTTCTGGAGTACGAGGAGACTATGATTAAGGAGTCTGGGCTCAAGGTCACGAGTAACATGTTTACGCGCTTTGTTGAGCTGTTCACGATTGCTCGGATTAGGCGCGCGACTTGGGCTTCTGGTATTGTCATGATTGCGCAGCAGATGTGTGGAAGTAGGTACCATCCAAAAACAGCTTTGTCTTAGGAGCCGTGGGCGGGACTAACATGCTTTTCTAGTCAACATTATCTCGTTCTACAGCGCAACCATCTTCAAGCAGAGTGGTATTAGCGACTACACCGCACTCTGGGCCAGTTTTGGCTTCGGTTTGATCAATTTCACCTTCGCATGGCCCGCCGTATGGACGATTGATACGTTTGGTCGAAGAACTCTCCTGCTATTCACATTCCCAAACATGTTCTGGACTCTGCTTAGTACGTCGTGTCTTCATGCTAACAAGATATTGCATATAATTGCTAACATGGCCGTGTAGCTGCTGGACTCTGCTATCTAATCAGCGACAGTACCGCCCGCATCGCCGCAGTGGCGACCTTCGTCTACCTCTTTGCAGCATTCTATTCCCCAGGTAAGCAATGTTCAGATCTCACCATTGCTGAATCGTACGAGGCCTACTAACGCCTCAAAACAGGCGAGGGTCCCGTCCCCTTCATGTACTCCGCCGAAGTCTTCCCCCTCTCCCACCGCGAAATCGGCATGTCCTGGGCCGTGGCAACCAACAACTTCTGGGCGTCCGTGCTCTCCCTCACCTTGCCGCGCATGTTGATCGCCATGACGTCCACCGGTGTGTTTTGCTTCTACGCGGGTCTGAACCTCGTCGCCCTCGCGCTCATCTTCCTGTTCGTGCCGGAGACGAAGCAAAAGTCGCTTGAGGAGCTTGATTACGTCTTTGGCGTGCCGGAGCGGACGCACGCAGCGTATCAAGTCAAGACCGTATTGCCTTGGTGGATTAAGAGGTGGATTTTCCAGAAGAAGGGGGCGAAGTGTCCTGATTTGTATCATGATGAGAATTCGGAGGGAGTAC